CTGCTGGGATTGCTAACATTTTATCAAAAAAAAAGTTCCAGGAATTATGTGAGATAGATGTTCCAGTTTTATCCCCGGCGCTTGCGTGGTGGCACATTGTAGACCAATTCTACCTATGACAAATATCGGGGCGCAAATTTGATGTGATAGAACGTACTTATATGTACAAGGTGGTTAGAAATCAGTGGCAATAATTCTACGGCATAAAGTAGATAGAAAACATCACAAATTGGTCAGAAAAACATGGGGCCTAAAATAATCCCTCACCAAGATACAGAGCAGCGGTTGTAAATTTCGAAATCGTGAAAACATGTATCTTCGGAGTGGATTAAGGTACTGGCCTAACATACATGTAGTACTAATAACGGAGCCATTACAAAAATATTCTTACCTGGGACTTCACCAGTGACCTAGAAATTGGGAAATGTGTGACCCTGAAGAAGGAGAAAGAAAATTATTATGTGTTCTACTGACTGTTTTAATACACCTATACTATTGTCGGAAAAGGTTAGTAGAGTTTAACATTGAAAATGTAACTGGTGCATTATGAGAGTAATCCTACCATGCTATGTCCTTATTCAAGCTTGATCAGTGACGTAAAACCCTGTATCTTTATAATGGGACATTTTGGGACACTTTTTTTGCCATTTTTGGATAAGCTTACTGTCCTAGAAAGATTGCCATTATTCTTTTATCACCTTGCAAACAAAAACTGTTGTATGGATTGAGAAGGACCTAAGGCCTGACCGCAGAACTTGATACGGCAACGTCAAAATTTATTTATTTATCTCTAGTAGAAAATGTGGGAGGTCTGAGAAATTTTTCATTTATGTGCTGGATGACATTGATAACACCGTGATGTATGTGAAAAGAGTTCGATAACTGATCTATGAGCATTATGCATTCCACTAAGAAGTGCTCATTTCCAACAGTTATGTAGATCATGAAGGTTCACTGAGATTCTTACTAATCAAAAATGCTCTTTATAAAATCTTGTCCACCCTGTATTCTTCCAACTAAGCTGCTTAATGAAAATTGACAAATAACAAAATAGTCTTCGGGTAGTCTCGAAAACCCCATGAATGTTTACCGTATGTTTTGCAAACACCCTGTGGACTTGGATGAGCTACTCATATAATTATGTCATAAAATTGTTAGTAGCCTAAAATAAATACTAAATTCGTTTTAATTCGTTATACCTACTTCTTGGTTCATTTTGGAAATGGATTATGTTTGTATAAATATAGGACGATTTAAACTCGATAGCTTGATCTTACCAGATTATTAATGATGAGAAGTATTCCATCTATGCCAATTCGTACATCAAAAAATGCTTCATCGCCAAATTTATGATTTGTAAGGAAGAATTGCAGAAATATCAGCGTATACTGAACTATCATACTTATGAAAGAGAGAGCTTCCAACAACATCACTAGTCCAAAAACTGCATTGAACGAGTCAACGGCATCACAAAGCAAATTGTGCAGCCTTCTAAGTTCCTTTATCTTTGAAACTTTGAATCCGAGGCTTTTGATAGTTCTGGTTGTGCTACTAGAACATTTTATAGTCGCCTTCAAGCGCCAGTTCAGTACTCTGAATCTGTTCCAGATCTCAAGACATAAGCATATCTTCAATAACACTAGCATTTGTAAATGAAAAATCTGAAAATCTCTGCCTATATAATACTGATAAATTACCATTCCGACTATGGTTAACCAGAGATTAGCATCGAATGTGAAACACATCACGTAGATGCTAAAGAACAGTATTAGGAGTATCCAGATCCTATACATGGGAAATGAGCATTTAACACGAAAAATCAGCTCGAAGGTGTCGAGGTATTCCAGGATATCCTTGAATTTATCCGGATACAAGAAAATGATACAGACAATGCCCGTTGCATTAGCAGCTGTCAAGAAAAACGTGAACACTTCATCTGCAATCCTGATTACAAACAGGTATTCTCTGAACGCTGGACCTTCTTTTGCTATCGTAGGTATAACGAAGCTGAACAGCGAAGCTAATATCAACACTACCACATAATACTTATAAAGCTTGTTCTCGAGAGGATAAATTCCGCATGAGTATAAGACGTATAGGAGAGGCTTTGGAATATTGTTCATTTTAACTGACACTGAGTAAGATAGTAGAACGTTTTCATGTATCAATTTGTGGAAAACGTACGTAAAATTAGTTTAGACAGTAGTGTAGAGTTGCCAGTTGCGTAGATATAGGAATGAACCAAGCACCATGCTTTTCGGAAAATTGATTTCGGTAGACTTGATCCTAATTTTAAGACTGTTTTCTCTAAGTGATGCAATCAGACGGTCTCATTGTACCAACTCGGTATAAAACGATCCAAACGGCACAGAAGGATCAGAGGGTGGATACTTGAAAGTCTGTCAGTTTTTTGACAGAGGTCTTTTTTGAAAAAATTTTAGATGCGTAAAAAATTGAGGATTCGAGGTTGTAGGGGATGGGTGAAGGTGTGTTTCAATTTTTCGGCGAATCGGTGCCTGGCGAATCGTAAGCCAGATGCAACACTGCCAACATACTGTCGGTAGGGCAGGGGAAAGGTTTCTAGATTGCAACGTTCTCAAATGCGGCAATGAAACAATTGCATGGGTCTGTTTGACTAACATAATTTATTCAATTTTTTGTCAAATAATTATGTTCGTAGCTAACTCTTCTCTCAAAGGGACTGACTTGTGCCTAACATAGTCGTTTACGGACTGATAACGGCGTTGCGTGAGAGGTGCAGAGTCAACCTACTTGACGCCTTTTTCAAGATATTTTTTGAACCTTCAGACCATATCTGCGACCTTCTTTCTTTCTGTTATCGACCGTTCCTTCCAGGATGGCCCTTTTTCTGAAGTATTATGTTCGGTTCCTATGAATATGTCACTAGTGTTATTTGGTCGGATATGCACAACATCAATAAGGCATAAAGTATTCATCAAATCGTTCTTAAGGATGACCGTGACTGGTGAAAATCTAATTGTTGGGTACTTTTCAACAAGGACTCGGTTATGTAGATGTGACTTGAAGGCAAAGGTTGCCAAGATGTTACGCCTCTGGTGTTGAATGAGGCGTGTCGAATTTATGTGTGGTCTAAATAATTAGGAATCATGCGATCAGAAACTTTATTTTACAGTTCAAACATTGTATTTAATCAGGGTGAATTCGTTCAGGTAGTGTCACGAAATGCGCCGGTAAATCAGTCACAGAGACATTGATGATATAGGGTAATGCAAAAATTAGTAGCAATACTCTAATGGTCGAGAGTCTGCCTAATAATATCTTGAAAAACCTATAGTAGGTGTACACATACTAAAATTGTAGGTAGTAGAAATTTCTTGAAATTTAGCACAAAAAAGTTATCTAGGATTGTTTTTTTTTATCAAAATCAACACCTTTCAACTTTACTATTGAAATGTCTGACTATGTACAAAAAATGACGTCAAGTAAGATAACTCTGCACTTCACATGCTCATCTGTCATCAGTTCGTAGAAGATTATGTCTAGCACAAATAGCCCTTCTGAGAAACAAGTTAGCTACGAACAAGCATAACAAGAAATTAAGTGACGTCCCCCCCCGAAAGGAATTGCTGCAGGCGCACATGATTATTGCGATTGCCAATCCAGGATAAATGACGATATTGGCATTCACCATGCACAAAACACGCAGTCCACAGCAGTGCGGACGCGACTGCCGACTGTGACTTACGACCATGAAGACGACGTACTGGGGGGCGACGTCGCACGTATCGACTCGACATCCAAATATAGGAAATATTTCTAACTTTTAAGGGTAAATGAGGACATCTGTGTTGAGTGAAATATGCCTAATATGTGCATAGAATTATGGGGGTCCGTGGCGTATAAATATTCCAACGTCAAAAATTAGGTATACCCTCCCTCATCCTCTGCAACTCCTAGCTCCCAATTTTTAACCCCTACAAATGTTTTCTGAAAATGAGCATGATCGTCTGAAACGTCAAAAAAGCAAGTCTTGAGTAATTTTTATTAGTTTTTTCGGTTTTGGCCTTTTCCTTCGCCGACAGTAGTCCAGTTTTCAAAAACTGCAAAGCTTTTGCGTCCTTAGTAGTAACATAAAGTTCAGCGACTGACAGATCGACAGAAATGGGTGTACTTTTGGGTGTCCCTCTCTTCATAGATTTACCATATATGTATTAATATACTCCAATTTTCTTAGCCGCCGTATAAAAATACATGTTGTGACACCTCAAAGTATTCCGGTTCTTACTGGTAGATTTACTTTTTGAAGAGGGTATTTCAGTTTTGAGACTTTATATTTGGTCTCACCAAATTGTTACTCATATTCATATTCTTGTCTATAATGAGGCGGTTGACACATTGTTTAACCCATTATTTGTGTGCATACGTTTATTCACAAAAATAAAACAAGATAATTGATCCAATTAATAAGGAACTCAACCCAAAGTGATCGTTAATGGTGATTTTGACGACAGATGCCGCTTTAAAAATGATCTTTCAGGACATAAAAGTTGATTTCACAGTAGGCTGTAAGTTGTCACAGTTTTTCAGAATAAGGGAAATTTTAGAAAAGGGCATAATTTCCAACAAATTTTGAAAATTTCATGATTCCCAAAATTTGCAAAATTATCAAAATATTTATAATTTTAGTTCATAAGTGAATGTCCAATTTAAAATATCCTGAAATTTTTCAAAATTTGACAAAGTGAACATTCTCAGAATTTTAAGAATTATTATGGTTCCGAAATTTTTTTAAGTGGCGAGAATCATACTTTTGGATACTTCATAAATTTTCCAAGTTTTGAAAATTTGCTACCGCTCACTATGAAATGCAGATGTTAAATCCTCCGTTAAACGTTTCTCAAAGGCAACGCGAGATCACTCCTCAAACGGCATTCAGTCCTCAAGGAGCGTCTGTAAATGTGACCCATATTGACGGAAAGCCTTGGCTTGAATTGCGGGGTGGAATAAGACATAATATGTGTACAAAAATAATTTATTAAATAAATTAGTGACGAGCATCAGTTCGTGTAGGCACCATACGCTAGCAACTGTGCTGCGTCCAAACTCCTTTTGGCGACAATATGGGCTGTCGGTTCCCAGCCCGCTGTGGCGATATGCGCATGCGCACCGTCCGCTGCCAATTTCTGGAACAACTGGAAGATTGCCAGGCCAGCTGATATCACGAACGAGAAGAACGCCAGCTGAAGTCCATTCCACGCCTTCAGGCCGAGAATTCCAATGGCTAGTGGCACCAAGGTCATAGCTTTCAGGACCAGGAAGACCACAATTGGGATCAAGATTTTCTTCACTTTGTGCTTCTTGATCTTGAATTTCTTCCTACGGCCTGTAATCGTATAATACCTATAATAAGTGTCGATCTCCATGAATTATTGTTCTGACCACAAGTGTTAATTACGAGCTATTGAGCTCGCCGGAAGCATTTTACTTTTTTTTATAATATGAAAATTGTTTTATGTTTTTCTGGCGATGCATTTTGCCCATTCACCTGATAAATAGCTACTGTATCGCAATTGTTAACCACTAGAATTACGTCTTTAGCATTGAGACAAATACGATACATAAATAGGCTCAACACTTTCGAAGGCAGAAAGTCTTTCGTTCGAGTTTGAAAGTAATAGACCATCGCAGTAAATATTTCTTGTCCGGGGTTCCACATATTGCTGAGCTGTATTCACTTTAGCTTCCATCGTAAACGAGAAGCTGCCTGAGTAGACATTGGAGACCACTGTAGTGTGGAAGTTGATCTCTAAGGTTGAAAAACCTGTATTGGACGTTTATATAGGCATAAAGTGCAAGTGTAATACACCTCTATGCAAGAGAAGATGACAGGCCAGCAATTCAATATTTCATCGCTTTGTCTTGTTATTATATTATATACTATTATTATCTTCTAGTCATCGATCAGCTGAAGATATCGTTGTACTAATGTAGAGTAAATGCAGTGCTTAGCTGAACGGTTAATCCTTGTTTCCTATAGTGTTACTTCTTGTGAATATGCCTGTTTACTTGGACTCTTAAGTAGATAAAGTATCATAGGTAGAACATGCATAATACGTGAGGAGGAGACATTTGCTATATTTCTCTTCAGGTAACAAGAATTTGTATTATTTGAGTACTGTAATTGCAGATAGGATTTTAACTTTTGAACGTAGGCCCAAATGTCCATAATACATTTTCAGTCATCAAAGCTCAAAATCTAGGTAACTAGCCTTCTGAACTATACACAACAGTCGTGGTCTGTAAGATATTTACAGGATCTACAGGATGTTACTAATTTCTTTTTTGGATGTTGCGGGCTGCATGCCTGGACAAAAGCTATTAATCTTCTATTTTTCATGAATCTCGGCATCCCATCGATAATTTGGGCCGCGAGCACCAGGCAAGAGAATTCAAAACCATCTTAGTATGTTACTAAAAATATATGACATGAGCGTATAGGAATTGTGTGTTTGAATCATGAGATAATATTCTTGATATTCAAGCCACACAACTACTGTATATCCAGAACCAAATCAACAAACGAATTTCATATATTTTCAGCAACAAACAGAGTTCTGGAACCTTTTGGTTGGTGCTCGCCACCCTTAGTCTTCAGTCATAAGAACGATTGCATGGGCCATACTGTTAAAAGGCAAAAGTACCATTATAGTAATTTTGTAAGAGCGTCGACTTGTCTATCATGTCGGCGTTCGTAAAGTCTACGGTTTATGTTAATTTATTGAATGCAAAGTACGTAGAGAGCATGCTACCTTGAAATCAATTAGCTATTTTTTATTCTTAACAAATGAGCCGACTAAAATAAGGTACAACGATTCCTCTTTCCTTACCTTCAACTTCATTATCATCTCCAAAGTTGACCTTCAGGTTCATTTCTTCACTATCTAAACTCCTAGAGTCAACTGTAATATCGCCAACTTGCGGTACTTTGAACGTGACGTCATGGGTCTTCAGAAAGTCTTCAACACCAGCTTCGAAGCTATCTTCAGTCCTTCCTGAGGTTTCACTGAGTTGATGATTGTTTCGACTAATTTCAACGTCAGAGAACTGTGAAGATGAAATTGTATACCATTGTGAATGAACTGTGGGCAGTATACCTAACCAAGTACTGTATTGAATGAGGTAGTAAAGTAACTACGCCTTTGCCATAAACAGTAGCCTGTCTACTACAAATTGAATCAATCTTTAGCTGTTTGCTACCTTGCTCAGTTTATATCCTCTTTATGTACAAATTATTGTCGTTTAGCGGCAATTAAGGAGTTGTAAAAGTCAGAATTAAATCGTGGACCTCTAAGCAAATAGTTATATGGCAACATTACGAACTTAACTGCTTTCGTACAATGCAGATTGAATCCTAATCATGATCTATGTATATAGTTGAATGGACTGTTATTGATATACTATGAAAAAGTCTCATTCTGGGATGCATCTAGATACTGAGGTACGAATTTGCATTTGGCAATAAAAACAAATCTTATACTAGATGATTACTTGTTCACTGAGCGACTAAAACGGATCTTTTAAATTCGACTCTGGGATCTCGGAAACAATAAGATATACGAAGTTGGTTAAATTAAAAATAAAAGACGTAGATCAAATATTCTAAATATCATGTAGACTTTTTTATTGACGACCTTAGTGGATATATTTGGTCAATATATTTTTGTTCAGAAGAAAGTGTTGGGTCTTCGCATTAGAATCAGAGATTTAATGACCTGTCTTATATAAATAATACGGATGTCATTATATTAAAAGTAACCAGATGGAAATAGCATGTCCGTCCAGATACAACGCTCAGGATACTTCATTTGCAACTCCTCTCAATCTATCAAAAATATAACCTGAAATAATAAGTCAAAATCATACTGTTTTACTGGGCTTGGATGCACTGAATGGGTCCCACTGTCAATTGATCCACCCTGTAACGCTCAGTTAGATAAAAAAATGTATGTAAAATCTATTGGATTTTTATGCTGTGTCCTTTTTGTGTACAGTTTTATGTTCTTGAATAAAATTCTATTTTTTTTATGAATCACCCCGTATATTCTTAGTGACTATTGAAGCCCACTTTTTCATGATTCCAAATGTACTGGGTGAGTTTCTTTTATATTTTTGACAAAAATTATTCCTAAGTAGTTGAAGGATGGCAGATGAAGTGAGAAATAAATTAGTAATTTCTAGAGTTGAGACGATATTAGCAGAAAAATGACTATCATGAAAGAAGTGAAAAATGTTAGGTCCATTGCTGCAACGGAATTAATAATCCAGAACAGAATATTAAATATGAAGAAGTTAAACTTCTCAACGAAAGATCTGCTGGCACGACTGTTTCTTATAAAGAATATGTTAATGTTCATTTTAAATACGATACTTCACATACTGTTTGCGTATATACAGATCACTCAAATTATATTAAAGTACTCGCTATATCGAAACGTACTACAAACTTTCATCAAATATACACGGAGGAAATCCCAAGATTGCGCGTTTCTGTTTAAAGCAAAATCATTACTTTTCAAACGGTGAGTGTCCAACAACCTCTCATGAACAAACAAAAGAATGATCTGAAACTTCTACTGTCAGTGTTGATGTCTTACCAAAAGATGGTTTGTGCTCATATTTGTACAACTACTCTGCAAGTCTGGCAAAAAATTCTGAACGAAATAGACGAAGATGGAGAAAAAAAGTACAATTTCTAAAGACGATTGATGGCAAATGTTTCAGTTGTAAAATTATCGTAAAACTGGATGTGTCAGAAAAAATTGTTGATGGAGTTATACCTTTATAGGGTTTCCGGAGAAAATTGACGTATTTGAAAATAAATAACTAAGATTGATGGAAAAAAAAGTACTGATTGTTTGTAAGTACTGATTGCTTCCATTTTTTCTTCCTTTACGAGTTTTTACTGACTATATTCACTTAGATTAGATGCGTTGAGCCTGCGGATGCTTTAAATGTGAAGAACTTGTTGTTTATTTCTGTTTTCTCACTTTTTAATTTGAGAAACGTAACACCTCACAGGATATGATGACATCTCAAAATGAATGATTCACAATTAGCAGACCTTTGGGCTTTTGTATTATGGTCTTGAAAGATGGGGCCAAGTTTGTTGCACCCACGATAGACCTTGAATCCTCCCGCATGATTAGATAGTTTATTTAATTAAAAAAGCATTACTTCCGAAAATAATCTGATTGGAAGTAATTTTCGTTAGATAGTAATGCATGAAACTTTACACCTTGTATAAAATATCTTGAAAACTGAAAAAGTAAGTAGGTAGGGAGAAAATATAGTGTAATAGTTTTTTTCTGACTGAAAATCGTGAACCCTATAACAGTTGCGGAAGTGCGAGTTTTCAAAGCTGAGTGCTTTTCTCTTGATAGATTATACAAAATCTCAATAGTTTGAAAATAAAATTCCATAGTATGTTATATAAAAGTGCTTCGTTTGAAGAGGCCTATCCAAATATGCAATAAAATGTATGACTTTCTATTTAAAAAAATGTATGCTCAGGTCACCACGTAGTTATGGATCACCCTGTTCGGACAAAAATATTTTCAAGGTCGGGAGCATGCCATTGGTTACAATTTTTTATTCACCTTTTTTAGATATCATGCGTAATAGCGGAGTTATCGACAGAGCTATATAGTTTGTTATACTTATTTTCTCTACCTTAGTCAAAAGCTCAAATTTTTTACGTCATTTAATCATATATATCTGGGTTATACTAGAGGTCATAGACAACTAGACCCAAACTGATTTAAACAAGGATACAAATGAATTAATGACATGCAAAATTTAAGTTCATGAATAATAATGTAAACAAAATAATTATAACAAACCATATATATTTGAAGTCAAAGAAAACGCCTATTATTTTAACAAATACTATACAGGGTGTCCTATTTTGGAAAATATAACTTTCTGAGACACCCTACCCTGTATACAAACAACCCATTGCACGTAAAACTTTCCTATAGCTTTTGTATGCACCTTTTGGCTAACCATTTTTAGATGTCGCTTGTCAGGTTTGGTACCTGTTCACCCGCGTGCCACTTTTTTCCAAATAGTTATACAAAATGGTTAGAGAGGTATCATTTTATACTACTGGGTTCCCTTAAAAAAAACCTCAACAATTTCTCAATCTCAACATACCTGGAAATAACTTCCTTTCAACACACTATCCAAAAACGAGAAAGCCTTATACTGGAAGCAGGCAATTGTATCACTGGACTCACACGATGACCTCATCTTTTCCACGTGGGCATCCAAGGGCGTGCCCTTCCAGAAGGCCGGTTTGACCTCAGAGGCCACCGACAGGCTGGCCACTGTTAAAAAAATTACAGCCCTATGAACGCCTACGGACATCGCGATGAGCACCTTGTCAGAATGAATGTGGAATTATATGCCGCTAGCTTTAATACCTCCGAGTAATTGAAAGTGCTCGCGGGCGGAATACTGATTTGTTGGACTGATTTTGGGTGGACGAGGTGGTCAATCATACGGAAGTTTGACTTTTTGTCAAGGTCTGGGATGATTTTAATGGATAGCGATAGAAAGACATGTAGTTGCTATTGTACAGTGTACAGCCTTACGTCTTCTGAAATATCTTGAAAGCTAGCTTACTCTCGTAAGCTTTCAAATCTTGTGAAGATGTATAAGCTGCAATAATTAAATTTAATTTTTTATCTGTGGTAATTAGTAGCTAAGCTACATCTTTTGCTTCGTTATTTTTTTTTCAGTCAGATTGCGTTACAGCTTTTCGATGAGCTGAAATGATACTTTGGATTAATTTTGTCAGCCACGCTGGAAAAGATGAATATATCTTCATACATAGTTGGGCAAAATTTGTTCGATTGACGAATAGCAAATCAATAAAGTCTTTTGTAAGATAGTCATGAATAACAAACAGTTTCATTTGTTCAAAATAAATAAAAATAAATCATTTTATTTGTGAGTTAATTAACGAATAAAAACTGGTAAAAACCTGTACTGCCGACGCCTACGTCAGTACCGGGAATTCATACGCTCCTCGGAATCTCTGCATGGTTGCGAAAAACCACGAAATGGCGTTGTATGTGGTTGGTCATGGTTACAGAGACTGGAAGCAAACAAATCCTATTCAGTCATAAGTAGTTGCTTTTCACCCACATCATGTGTTATATCTTCCTTGTGCGGTATAGAGATTGGGGTCCCACGTGTTAGCTTAAAGAAGCAACTAGTCTGCGAATCGTTTGCCTTAAGTAGACCGAGGGAACCAAGGATGAGCGATATCTGCATTCATCCGGCTAAGCTGTATACAAGTATAGATTTTGTCCGACAGAGGAGTGTATTTTTCACCCCACCCACGATCCACTGACCATAACTAGCAGAATGACAGTTTAATCTGGCCAAACCAAGCAAAGCTTTTTGAGAAGCTTCTGATACTTAGTCAGTTTCCCGTCCCTCTTCGAGGTGATGTTCACTTCGACCAGAGCTGAAAATTTAGCAGCGAATATAGCTTTCTGTTTTTGGTCAACAGGTACATCTCGTCGCTGGTTTATTATATCAGTTACCAGTATATGGCTCTTGAAGTAGTACAGAGTTGATATCATGGGTTCGACTAAGAGGGTCAAAGGTGACCTAACTGCCAGTATTCGCCTCACCCATCACTACTACTTCTACATGTGTCTTTAGACTTGTCCCTTCGAAAACTTTATAAGTAATTTTGCTCAGCAGTTTTTTTGTGTCTATTCAGTTGAGCAGGAGCCAACTCTATAATGGACTGCTGGCAATCCGCCTTGAATACTGAGCTCCTCGGCTGCTCTAATCGCTGCTCTAAATAGAAAAGCTCCTTTACCCGCATTGTTTTCATAATATTATTATATTAAGACAATAACAATGGTCTTGGGATAGTACACTCAAGATCTCCTAATATTAATATGAACATACTCGTATTGTCACATCGCCAAATGCAGTAATATTTCATTCAACATGTAAGGTGAGATGTGGTACAATTAGGATGCATGAAAATGGATGAGGTGTGATTTGGCGCGAAACTACCACTTAGACGACTTTAACTTTAGTGAATAAAAAGGACCAAAGCTGTAGCAATTTACTTTCAGGGGGAAGAAAGGAATAATGTTTTGTATAGTTCTTTAAGACGAGAGTTGAACCAATTTTAGTCTAATGAACAAGCTTCGTCAGTTGTGTACTATCAATTGTCAACTCCATTTTCGATAATATGATAATTGGAAAGAATGAAGTTGAATTGTACCATCAAGACGAATCTAAGGACACCTAAGCTGTCAAAATCCATCAACCCGTATGGGACGCTGCCCGTTAAACAGAAATTTCATAGTTGCATTTTGTTTTTGACTATATACAGTGTCATTTGCACTGCCAATAGAAAACTGAAGACACGGGTACGTTTTACATTTATGTCGCTGGTAGCGCTCGTACTTACCTCAGGCTACTGGCTCCCTCTGAGACCTTCAGTCAACCCTTTGCCATCGTAAGGGTAACGTCATCAAAGTCTACCTCTCGTTGTTTTGCATAGGTTGTGATTTTTGTTTTATATCAATGTTGTACTCGTATTTGAAGAGATTTTTCTGTATTTATTGTTGATGTTTTTCAATTCGTAGCTTGTGTGCTCGTTTAATATACTAAGTGACATATAAATCCGAACACCCAGTTTAAATGGTTTTATTTTAATAAAAGTTGGTGAATGTATTTATCTTACTGTATATAACAAGTGAAAAAATTTTCAGCCTTATCAGTTGGACATTCCGGTTTTTATACTGCTTTTTTTAATTCACTAACGTTCTAAAAATGAATATTTCAGCCGAAGTAAAGAATCAACGTTGGCGGATTTTGGTTCTTGACATCCTTCACGATCGGTTACGATGCCTAGAGTACGGAGACCTGTACGATTTCGTCAACTTAGTGAGTTTGATAGGGGCCGTATAGTGGGACTTCGGGAAGCTGGACTTTCTTTTCGGGCAATTGCAGTTAGAGTGCAAAGAAGTTTAGACACTGTGGTTAGGTGTTGTCAGGCATGGCTTCGAGAAGGCCGTACGCAAAGAGCAAGGGGCACTGGACGCCGCCGTAGAACAACAGACCGTGAAGATCGCCGCCAAAGATTATTGGCCTTAAGGGACCGTTTCTCCACAACCAGGTCGATTGCAAATGAATGGTTTGCAGAACACGGAAGACCTATTGGCATGCGAAGTGTTTACCGACGAATGAGAAGTTTTGGCTTGTTTTCATACTGGCCACACTGGGTCCTCCCTTTAACTCCAGAACAACGACGTAATCGCCTTGAGTGGTGCAGGCAACGGTCACTCTGGGATCAAGAATGGAACAGTATTGTCTTTATTGACGAGCCTCGATTTTGTTTAGGCATGCACGATGGTCGTGCCAGGGTTAGAAGGCGACGTGGTGAAATGAGGAATCCACAGTTTTCTGTTGAAAGACATGTTCATCACACTGTTGGAGTTATGGTTTGGGGTGCTATAGCTTATGGTTCCAGGTCACCTTTAATCTTCATCAGAGGTAACATGAACGCGCAGCGTTATATCCACGAAGTTCTAGAACCCCATCTTTTACCCTATCTTGACACCCTGGCAGATGCAACTTTCCAACAAGATAATGCCCGACCACATGTTGCAAGAGTCACAATATACTTCTTTCAACATAATGATGTCACATTGTTACCATGGTCACCAAGATCTCCCGACTTATCCCCAATTGAGCACATGTGGGATATGATGGGTAGGAGATTGCTCAATTTGCAACGTCCTCCTCAGACTCTAGAAGCACTTCGAGAGGAGTTGGTGGTTGCCTGGAATGAGATACCACAGGAGGACATTGACCACCTGATCAGAAGCATGCCTAGGCGCGTTGGAGAATGCGTAGCACATCAGGGTGCATCCACACATTATTAAAGGTCAAAGGGCTTTAAAGCAGTGCAATCATTTTGAAATGTTTATCATTTACTTATTATGCTTCATTAAGTACTTATACAAAATTTTATTAAAATAAAACCATTTAAACTGGGTGTTCGGATTTATATGTCACTTAGTATAATTATACCTAAGTTGCATGCGTGTAATATGTTGTTTTAGTTACTACAATTAATTCCAGAGAAATCATAGTTAAAAAGTGCACATTACAACAAATACAGTTTATAATTTTCTGGAATAGCAGTCGGTATTATCGGCTATAAATATTGCATTTCAGGAGGTGTTTTGAATAGTATTTCAATTTACTATGATTATGTTTTTTTGTATTTCGTTTCATCTTTGAAATTTGATTATTCTGATAAAGTACCATCTGAAGTCCTAATGTCCTATTGTGTAATGATTTGTGACTTTAGTGTGTAGGATATAAAGTAGTATTTGATCTGTCTCAATGACAGCCAGACTCATTTAGCATATTGATATATCTTTCAAAGAATCCCTATTATATCTCGAACACCAAATGAATAGGAATCACTCCGAGTATTGTGGATTTGAACGAACTCGATTAGTGTTGCATCTGTCGAAGCAGGTAGCAGTGAATTTCTATTAAGCTCAAGACATCGGAAAATTTTTGCAGTGAGCTTTGTATCTTCCTTATTGTTTAGCGGTAGTATTTGGAATCTGTTGTTGTAGTCGAACTCTATATGTACCACGACACCAACTGCACCTTCTTTATAAATTAGGTCATATCCTGCAATATTATAATGTTCACTGTTCGGTACAACTCACGTTTCCATCAACGGTCAGCCCTGGAGTTGATATTAACTAAGTTATGAGAGTTCTGATGGATAGCCTAAACTGATGTTAATTGTTCGCAATCTTAAAATGTTTATGTAAGTATTGTTTCAACCTCAAAATCTCGAATATGTTAGTCCATATTAGAACTAAGAGAAAAAAACTATAATTCAACTCCTGGCGGTATGCAGTGGGGTTTTCCTGAACCAGTCGCTGGACCGCTTTATTTTTATTTAACAGTTATGTAGGTTTTTTTACTACTTGGATTTTTAGTAACAGAAGGGCCTTGCTCTGGTTTTGAGAAGACCTCTGATGTCCCAACGGTTGGAGTATGGAATACGCCGTTAGTTCGAATTCTTTGACTGACATCTGCTTCGATTAGGTTATGGTGTACGCAACTCCAATAACGTAAACTTTACCTTCTTTTCAGGCAGCAGTCTGCTTCTACCTTTTCCTTCCTTCCTTCTTGCTCTAAACTGAAATAAACGTGTGACTCACGCAGGTCTTAAACAGCTGCCTATTGGTATAATGATGGCTGCAATTGTAAGCTAATGCTTCTGGTTTTATTTAGTCTGTTTAATGATCTGTTAGTCTATTTTGTATCCTATTTCGTAGTAAGCATGACACTATGCTTAACCATGAATTCATTTTGGTTGACGTGTTCTAACTACATAGATGATCTCTACAATTTTCTTTTGAAGCATAATTTATTGATCGCCCCATTGTGAGTACTACTGCCAGTGTCCCTATCTTCATTAGAATATTAAGAAGTTGGTATGCGGGTTTGCTGTTGATGATTGGCACCAATGATACTCTTTACCGTTTAGGTCCTTTACCAATACAATATTTTTTTCTCGAGTTGGGATAGTAAAAATTAAAATACAAGATAATTTCAAAATAAATAAATAATTTATTATAGACTAGACAACAATCAATCCTCATTCTGATCCAACATGAATCATTGCACGTAGGCAGAGTATGCCATTTGTTGGGGTTCATCGAAACTTCTAGCGATATGAGCATGCGCTGGTGGCTCAGCTACCACATGGGCATGAGCATTGTTTTCTGCTATCTTCCTGGCGAACTGGAAGATGGCAAGACCACTGGAGATGACGAAAGAAATCAGGGAAAGCTGCAGAGCCTGGAAAGCTTTCCAAATGAGCACTCCGAGAGCCAATGGAACGATTACGATTGCTTTGAGGAGGATGATCACCAAGAAAGGCAATACGATCCTCTTGATTTTGTTTTTCTTGTGGCGGTGGCGTGCTGGAAATGAAAAACGGGTGAGTCAAAAATTATTATATTCAATAAATAAATAAAAGTCATAACAATAACTGTGTTCACAATTGAATGAAGGCATCACAAAAACAACAATTCAAAAGTTGACACAACCAATCTAAAAGGAGCTACCCAACTATAGCAACTTCTGAGCGCAATCAAAGGTAAGATATTAGCCGAGCCATTCTTTCACATATTTTAGTACATCAGTGTAAGTTGTTTTCAGCGCGCTGATGCAAATCAAAAAATAATTTAGGCGCTTGTTACCACGTTACGATACCAAATAATATTCAAGAATGCAAATATACTTTGGAGAATGGCCCAAAGCTTCCTTAGCATCTCTAAGGTTATCCACTGTCGAGCTGAAAGAAAGATGATATACATCAAATACAGTCGCCATGCTTGTCTGGCCAATAAAACCACATGTGTTGAAGGATCTTCTTTAATGTAGTAAATACAATATAATGTTGACATTATACAGGAGAATATCACCTTTGTGAACGGAACGGATACTACAGTAAAAAAGATCTGTCAATATTTATTGGCGAGACAAGCATGCGGATTATCGACATGTAAATCACAGGATCACTTTCAGATGTTACAATAATCGAAAATAGTTTTGACCATTGAACAATTCAGAAAGTAGTAACAGTTCAACAAGCTGGTATGTGTGAAGGAGAATCTAGCTGTTATGATGTGTCCTTAGCAACGCTTCCATTTCACTTTCGCCTGCTTCTTGGATCGACAATGGTTTTTACTTTTACTTGAAACTCTTCTTGATGAAGAAAATGAGACGTTTTGTTACCATTGTAAAACTGATACTAGTAATCGGTCTAACCTATTTTAAAATAGGGGCGGTATAGCGGGAATTGGTCCGTAAATTTATTTTCAATACGGCACCCTGAGACTTATGCAGTCCTTGAATCCTGCGAGAAGCTCTACTTTTGTGGTATGTGTTATGATATGAGTATAAATCAATGAATAGATATCGATTGTCACTGTGTTGAGATTTCCTTTGTTCTAAGTAGTCGTTATAACTATTTTTAATGCAAAATAGGTACGGAGTTGAGATACTAACAAAATCCATGAAACACCAAATTCAAAAATTATTAAATTAATAAATGCTTCCGCGTATACTTGTTGTTAGAGTAAAATTTTCATTGGGTCACGAATATTGTCAAATGGTGTTTTTGAGCAATTTTTTTCTGATATACGATACGAGGTAAGTGAAAGTTCGGAGGAAGCATGTTGAAAGCTGTAAGAGTGCTACACCTTCAAAGTTTTGTCAATATACACTACGTTTTTACGCTTCCAAAGAGTGTGAATTGCAATAGCGGCAAATTTCGAAAATGAGATACTATGTCTTTTTCATCGTATATGAGATGTGTCTCTCAAAAAACATGTCTGTCGCTTTGTTTGTCCACTAATACTTGGCTGTGCTATAACTTGGAGCCTACCAAATGAATATTTATGGAATGTTCACACACAGTTACTATTTACTATGCCAAGCACAAGAAATCTTTGACGTTTTTTTAAAATGTTTTAATGGCGGCGGGCATAAGGGCAAAAAAATAAAATAAAGATCACTAATTCAGAACTTTGTGATCCCGGTATCAACATCCAACATATTTTGTGAAATATTCACGAATGTGACTCCAGCAACACCAGCGACTAAGGAACAACAATATCCTTTACCAGTGGAATGATACCACGGCGTATGAAGGTTGTCCTGATATCACGGACGACCTATAGTCATAATCGGTTGTTTCAAGAAAAATTATATAAAAATTTCAATTCTGTTCATTCTGCAACATCATCACTTACGGTTTCCATGGCGGACGGACGAACAAAATTCAGTAATATCAATTTTCCTAGATCAACAATACTATCTGTTACTGATGCTCATTCTACTCTACGGTATTATATCAGCGTGAAAGGATTTTTAAGGCGATCGAAAAATAAAGATTCCAGAGCGTGCAAAAGTTGACTTAGATACCAAACATACTGAAAATCCAGTTGTTCAGAATTGCGTAAGAAGGACAAGTCACTCTACTTGATGTCTTTTCTCTTCATGAACACTTACTGATTGGAATAGAAATCAACTAACCTTCGATGCTTCTGTCTTCGAATTTCCAGCTGATGTTAAGTTCATCATTGTCCAAATTTCTTGCTCCCAAGGTGATCTTTCCTCCAATGGGCAACTTAACAGTCACATCGTGCGTCTTCACATAATTTTCTACCTTGCTTTCAAGATCTAAGCTTCTCTGGCTTACGTCGGCCAAATTCTTGCCATTTCTGGTTACTTCTACATCTTCTGAGACCTGCATCAGATAAATATTACGTATTTCAGTGAAATAGTTAGACTCAAAATCTAGTGTAAGCTCATATACCTATCTAAACATGATACGAGTCATATGATTCATATATTGACTTGTCAAGCGGTGAAACGGATCATAGTTGCATTTCTAGATATGTCCTAAAATTTTATATATGCAAGACGTTGAGTACCTCAATTTACGTAAATCGGTCCAGCAGTGCAGCGTTTTCATGCTGAATAGCAGTAACCATGGGATAACTTTGTCAGTTTAATAGCAGTTTTCACTTGATTGCCAGATTTGGTAGTTTGTTGACCACATGCTGCGAACAGTCAAAGCTATTCCATGGCTACAGCTATTCAGCATGAAATAGCTGCACCGCTGAATTGGTTTACTGTTGTGAAGAACTCGTTACAGAAAAATAGCACTGTATCGTATTATTTCAATTTAGTCAAAAACCAATTCATATAGATGTTTAGAAAACTGATCATATTAAGTTTCAGAGGCCGTTCCGCTTTTTAAATGTTTGGCCAATTAGTAAATGAGCGGTATCAGTCGTGTTGAGGTTTTCCCATATTTCATCTGGTGAAACTGTAGAAATCTTTGATAAACTGACCACCTAAAACTTGATCTGTAAATGAGTCGTTGCCATATTTAGCTGATGATTCCACAGTTTCTGTCATGTTCGAGATATTGGTAAATGAATGCTGATCGCGGTTCATGTACAGTTCGACTTACAAGCTACTAGGCGTGTTACGTGTGACGCTTCGGACGTTATTAAGTGCAATTTGTAACATCTAAGTGATGGGAAATATCACTAATATATTGTGAAATAGAAAACAAGTGGTATCTGTAGATGAAACGAAAGCGAATACCAAACTACAACCTCACTCGTAAAATAAACGTTTTCAAAAGATTTATAATGAAGTATGCTGCTTGCTTGAATATCTGTTTCTTGATTTTTCACTTCGAACTCAAAAGAACTAATTGAAAATGTGTATACTTTGTAATTATCCTGTTCCAAGAATCCTTCGATGAACGACGTCACAGCATTTCCAAGGTATCCAAGCGGATCTTCATCGAACTCGAGTTCCTTTTCCTCCCTTGGGGTGGGCCCGGCGCAACTCAATGCCACCAGCCCTAAAACGAAAATCACCCGGCACACCTTCATATCTAACTAAATTATGACTAATGACAAGCGAAAATATCATCCCCACGTTTTTATACTTCCCAGTAGCTCAGTAGAACGGTCCCTGTCGGATTTGGTAATGTAGTGCAGCGTACCTTTAAACAAATCGGGGCAGGCCGTGCATACTAATTTAGATGTTTTGACTTATTAAAAGACGAGCATCGCTATTCGGAACCTTGCCATAATACATTATTAATGAGCTTGAAGGATGTGCTTCTGCCGTTGGAGAAATTCCGGTGAAACAATGCCGATGAAAAGCTTTGATAGGAATCGCAATGGAGTTTCTATTTGACCGTCTGGTATCAATTAGGACAAGTTAGGAGTAGAATACATGCATTATGATGAAATTGTTTTGGTTTTCATTTTTTATTTATATCTATATGTAGTGTCGGAATGAAACTCGAAACTGATTTTAATATAACCTTTAAAAGTGTAATCGGCTCTGTGTGACATCAACATGCTCAATCTGGCCACTGGTCAAAGTAACAAGGATTTTACACTGTTTCGGCTTCATTGGCAGTCTATCTTTGGAATAAGAATCAATTTTAGAGCTGTTGGCAAGTGTATAGCTACACTAATCTTTGTTGCATAAGACAAAGTAATAAGAATGTTAGCACAAACATGAATTCTTTACCATCATGAACCAAGGTTTGCAGGCGTTATGGTTATACTGTTACTGTTTTGTGAATCCAATACTCGACTTTTAGACTAAAACTTTTAGAATTCGAGACAAAAGTATGGTAATTAGCTGTTTTACAATGGTATTATATTCTTGAGAGTATATGAAAAGAATCGTCATGAAGGAGTAAAAAAATGTTGCTTGTTGTAGGGAATGAAAATACACCAAAATGTGAGCCTATACGGCCAATTAACGGTTTATTTGTTATTAAAAATACCAGAAACCGTCCATTTCTATATTTACTTTTTCTGCAAAATGCATAACGGTAAATCTGCAATAATAGCCAAAAGTTAAAGTGCTTCCAGTGCTCAACAGTCAGAAAAACTTCATTAAACAATGCTCAACCGTTTCTGATAATTTCTATTGTTGGCCTTTTTTGCTGTTCAACTTCGGATCAATTAAGTAAATGGCCTCATCTTGGGCTCTTTCTCTTGCTAGATAAGAATTTTCCTATACGAATCGACTAAAAAAGCGTGGTCAGTAGTCAAAATAGATGTACATCGATTTTTTCCTCATAAACAAGATTATCCCGTTGTTTTTTGATAGTCGTATAATGCTCGCCGCTGAAAAGCTGACGTATAGGATACACTACGATGCAAAAAACCTTCTTGAACTTTTGGGGGCCACCTCAATGTGTACCAACGTATAAAAGAAGATTAGAAGCTGCCTAATCAAAATTATATCGTTTCTTATTGCTATGAAAAACACCTTACAGAGGTGAGACATTCCACATGGTCCTTGGGAGTAGTAGGTTATGTTTGATTTTCTTATGTGAAATAAATTTTTGTATCTAGGATTCATATTGTAATATAAGTATCTATTGAAACCTGAACACCACCTTTTTCGGCGGTATCAGAGTAGATCTAATTTATTTACATACGTACCTAGATGGACAAAGTCGAATGGTAGGCAGTATGGCTCAATACTTTTCCATATATGGACAATAAAAATGTTCTAAACTCAGTTTTTACGTTTATACAGAGTGATGTATCCAAACACGCCAAACTAGATTGATGGCTTGAAAATCCAGTGCCCGACTCAGCTACGGCTTCTTTTTCACTTTATTGTGGTTTTTCGATAACATTTTTTGAGCTGAATATGGATAGTGCTAATTAATTCGCAAAATAAATTGATTACGTCTCTTTTGACTTTCTAGTTGAAATTTTTTTATTTATTCAAGTCTTATTCTACAAAATAATGCTAGTGCGCCCTGTAAGTTATACCCTGAATTTATCATTATTTTGCAGAAAAAAGAGCAACACTTGATATAAATAAGATATGAAAATAACTTTATGTACCCTGTTTAGTTTTCTTCAGTAATGTTTTAATGACTGAATTCTACCAACTGATGTTATACAGCGTGAGTCTTGCTTTTCAGCGTAGTAACGTTTACTTGTTCCCACCACAACCTAACGTTATAGTGCGGTGGTTAGGACCCAAAAATCAACGAAACATTGACATTTTTTTACCGAAATGAGACTTGGCCTGGAGTAAGTACTCATCAGTGCCTTTCATTTGAAAAGTGGTGCCCCAGCGGCACTGGAGAAGGGACAGATTTGCAAGATGAAGGCGCAAACTCCTGATTATATATTTTGATGTATTCTGTGGCTTCAGTCATTGGCATTTTCCAGGAGATACGGACTACTATTCGTCATTATTCGTCAGAGCGGTCCGGTGGACCTTTGCTTTTAGTTAAAAGCCTCGTCGGTCTGTTAGTCTGTCATGCTGGCTACTCAGATACCAAACATGTTTAAGGGGAAAAGGGAAATAAGGAAAGAAAGGAAGGAAGAAATAGAGCAACGAAAAGAAGTAAATCATTTGAAATAGCTTAAGCATTATTGCTTTGACTACTCGAATTATTTTGTAACTCCAAAAAATAATTTTGATCGGTTTTGTATACTGAAATAATTTTGGCTGGTCTGAATTTACAATTTAATTTTGATCACAGTGCGAGGCGCGGCCTGGAATGTTTGCGAACTTGCTCGACTGTGTAGTCTACTGAATCACGCAACAGACGGTTGCTGTGCGATTCCGCTTGATTATAACGCCGCTGCGCCTGTTGTTTTACGTAATCCCTTAAATATAGGATATCAAGATCTCTGTGAATAGTCTCATTTGACACGTACCAAGAGGCGTTAGTAATTGTGCGTAGGGTTCTGCAGGACTTGCAGTCTCTGCATGTTCGTCTTGGCAAGAAAACACCAAGCCGGGCATGCGTAGGTGATTGCGGGTCTTTGAACATTTTATACAACCGAATCTTGTTGATCAAACTTAATTTTGAAATTCTGCACAACAGAGGATAAAGCTGCCGAAAGGTAATTTGGAATTTTGTTTTCAAAATACCAGTATGTTTCTGCCAGGTCAATCCCTTGTCAATGATGACTCCAAGATACCTGACAGATGATAAATGCAGGTTGTCTATTGTACTTAGCCATTCAATGGCTGCGGAAAGATCGCCTGCAATGCCTGAGTGGGGCTAATCAGGGGACTTATTATTTGTTGAAGGGACCTAAGCGCAGTTGCTAGGTCCACATTCTGCGTGTTCAAAGTGGGTTGAACAGAGGGGGCTGCCGAAGATGTTGAGACGACTGCTTAAGCGTATGACTTGCTGCGTCTTTGCGCTATGACAGATTTCGCCTGGGGGTGAATCTGCAAGTGGGACTATTAGCGGGATGCGCCCCTCCACAGTTCGCACACTTTCGCTCCTCTTGTCCTGTGAGGGGGCATAAATGTGTCCTGTGGTCGCAAGCACATTTTAAACATTTGGGAGGTGCTGTGCAGTAAGACTGCGCATGACAATACCTTTGGCAGCGGTGACACTGCCCAATAAGTTTGGAGTTCTTTTGAACTTCAACTCTGATTGCTAGACCCAGCAGCTCATGTTCATTGAACAGCTGTTGGGACTTTTCAATCTTGGGCAGTATCACGACCACCAAAGGCATGGGTGCGCCGCCACTGCGTTTGAGTCGGATAATGTGGAGAGGAGTAGATCCCCTCTGTTCTAATTCTCCTTTGATATCCTGTTCCGAAAACATAGCGGGTATACCTCTGACTACCGCGTGAGTATTTCGTTCTGAAGGAAGAGGAAACGTATGATGGGGCACGTCCTCCTCCCTGAACAGGCGAACGATTTTTCGGTAGTCATCCTCAGTTTTCGGCAACATCCGGATTCCCGCATCAACGCCAACTGCGCGTTCTATCTTAATGCCTAAGCTTATAAAGGTGTAGTTTAGTTGTCGCCACTTGGTCGCATCAGGCAAAACAATGGGCGTGATTCGCCCCTGGCAGGGTGCTGTGCTGGTCAACTGACCAGCAACGTGGGATTGTTGAGAGAATGCACCGTCAGTCGATGCAGTGGCCAAAGATTGAGATGTGTTCGCTGCATCGAGCGTCTTAGGACAAGTGGCAGAAGAAGTTGATACGTTTAATGAAGCAGAAGGTTTTGAGGGAACCGTCGACTTGAATTTTGATTTTGCTTTTGGTAGATGTGGGAAGTCATCCGTCTTGTCGGTTTTGTTCGTTTTGTTGATGCGTCTTTTCCTAGACTTGGCCTGGATGAATCCGTCATTCTGTATTTCATCGTCGGTCGATGTCACGTCAGTTGAATTTTCAAAAGGTCTTTTTGAATTGACAGCCTTGTCAGATTTAGAATTAAAATTTGCATTATTGATTAACTGTGTTACCTGGGTGGTCAGACAGTCTATTTTACTGTTTTGGTCCCTATCTGTCTCAGTCAGGTTCTTTATTTGCTGGGCCTGGCTTTCGATAATCAGGATCTGGCGCTGGATGGTTCTGTCCTTTTCGTCTGCTACAGCTGGTGTCATCAATTCCTTTGATTTCATGGTCTCAGTCAGCTCCTTTATTTGCTGGTCCTGGCTTTCGATGATTAGGGTCTGGCGCTGGATGGTTCCGTCCTTTTCGTCTGCTACAGCTGGTGTCATCAATTCCTATGATTTCTTGGTAATTTCTGTTCTCTCCTTCTGGCTGGGTCCATTCCTCATCGGGGATGCTGGGGGATCATTACTTTGACCTCCAGAGTCTATCTCCATGTTTTTAAATCGGATTTTCTATTGAAAAGCTTGATAACTTTCACGAGCAAAAATATGACGTATTGTCAATTATCCCTTATTCAGGGCATTGTAGGAGATACGGAAACACAAAGAAAACATGGTCCACCAAAAGCGCCTTCATTTAGACCGCTCCTCTTTGTTGTACCTGAATGAAGCTCGTAATAGTAAAATACCTCACTTTTGAAAAATGATGCCCATGAGGCACTACGTGGGAATCCTGGCTACGGAGGGTTGCATATCTAACGGGGTCGAATTTGCGATTTTCCGTATTGTGCTATAGTCAAAGTGACTTGAGCAGTGATTTTGCAGTTTTTTAGTAATTTTTTTTATCCAATATACTAACACAGTACTACCTATGTGTTGACATAAAGAACAAATGACCCATAGTTGAATGAGATATCTTCTATGTCCAGGTCAGTTTTTAGAAAAAAATAAAATAGAAAGATGATGGCATTGACCGACTGCGCTTGTATCATGCCCCGGTCCATTTTGTTAAAACGGAAAGAGAACGGGCGTAGGAGGAGTGACGACCAGTGGATTGAGGTACCCAAGCCTCACTACTTGAGGATTCTGGCTACAGGGGTTGCATGTCACTCAGGTGCGTTTTCGCGGTCTCCTACTGTAAGTAGGCACCACTAGAGCCATTAAAAAGTAGTAACGGCGTTGCCGGCCTACCGTACGGTATAACGGACAGCGACTATATATCACTGTTTTATAGAATAACGCTTGGAACTCCCTACAGTCATGCCCAGAGTTAATTACTGTTTTCCAGGAGCTAAATTGTAGCAAAATAGATCTGTCTACCCTAACAAAAATTTGTTTCAGCATATATTACCCGTAAGTAGATAGAAGAAAACTATACAGTACGTTTCAGATCAGCCTTCTACGAGTTACTTCAAGCCGAGAAGTCAAGATTTTCGGTACATAACCTTGAATGCATTCCTCCCACCAAAGATGGACTCCAGCACTGCGTAGGTAAACACCAATTGTGCCCAAATTCTCTTTCCCTCCCAAATACTTCCTTGCCAGAAGATTTCATGCATGCATCACGATGCAACACATTCTTGGAACTTGTCTGGACAACTAAACCACGTACGCAATGCCCTCAAGTGGTGCCACTTGAGCACCACTTTTGAAGAGTACCTTCGTCTCTTTTACTATGCCCAGTTTCTGCCCGTTCAAGTGAAACAGGCGTGATACAGGCAATGTTGGCTAAGGCTATTTTTTTCTAGAAAATTCAATAAAGGAGGTAGATATCTCATTCAAATATTGAGCAATCGTGCTATATCTCATTACGTAGGTAGCACTGTTAATATATTGGATCCTCAAGATGCTAAGATATTGCAAAATCACTGCTCGATCACTTTGAATACAGCAGAATAGAGCAAATAACAAATTTTACCCTACGTGATGTGCAACCCCCATAGCTGTGGTCCTCAAAAGTAACATATTGTGTTTTTCAAGAGTATCCATTACGGTGGAATGACAACAGATTATCTAGTAATATTCAAAGATTCCCCATTATCGGCAAAGAACACATAGCTCTGACGGA